CTCTCCAGCGTTGTTCATTTCATCTTTTTTTATTTGGACCATTCTCAAGTGTTGAGGTGGCATCTCAGTGTGGTTTTAATTGACATTTCTCTTACAATAAGTTAAGGTGAACATTCCTATGTCTGTTGGACCTCAGAATTTCCTCTTTAGTGAAGTGTTTATTTCCTTTGCCCTTTTCTTTTCTTTTTTTTCAATAGAAGCATGTTTTATTTATTTATTTGTTTGTTTTTGTTTATACATGCACTGGGTACAGTCAGAAGCACAGGAGGGTGAGAGAATTTACCAGAGCCAGAGCCGGGAGCAGAGCAGGCAGAAGGACCAAAATACACTGCTGAGGGGAGCAGTGGGCCCCAGGAGAGGTCTGCGTGCCATGTGTGACCCTCCTTTGGTGGCCGGTGAGCAGCCAGGGATTGAACCGGCTCCGTGGAGGCCGCGCGGGCAGATTCTCAACCCAGCACTCAACCACTGAGCCACCGGGGAGGCCCTCCTTTGCCCTTTTCAATTGACTCATTGGTTGGTTTTTCACTCTGGGTGGGAACTTTACAAATTTTGGAATGAACCCCTTGTCAGATGTGTTGCGTGTGTTCTATTCTGTAGGATGCATTTCTGTTTCTGTGCTGGTTTCTTTTGAGTTCTAAAAGCTTTTAGATTTGGTGTTGTCCAAACTTGTGAAACTTGCTTTTGTTTCCCTTGGCATTGGGGTTGTGTTCCCTCGTGCATTTTGCAGCAGCTGTCCTGTAGTGTACCCTTTTATTTTCTTTCAGTGCTTCATGCTTTGGGCTCTTATGTCCAAACTTTTAATCCATTTGGAATTAGTTTTCTGTATGGAGTTTTTCTTTTAAAGATTTATTTATTTATGCATACAAGAAGTGGGGTACAGGCCGGAGGTGTAGGGGGTGAGAGGATTCAATATGTATCACAAACAGGGACAGAGTGAGGAACAGAACAGGCATACTGACTGAAATACACTGGTGAGGGGAGCAGCGGGCAAGTCAGGAGAGGTCTGCTGCACCATATGGATAGCTCTCTACCTGGGGATCAAACTCATGCTGCAGTGGCTATGTATAACTACATATGTTGTGCCAGCAGGGAGGCCCTGTATGGAGTTTTGAATGGGTCTTGGTTCTTATTTTTACAAGTCATTATTCATGTTTCCCTGCACCCTTTTTTAAAAATATGTATTTATTTATTTATGCATAGAAGAACTGGGGTGTAGACCAGATATTCAGGGTTTGAGAAGATTTGCCAGAAACACAGTATGGAGCAGAACAGGCAGATCCAATGAAATACACTGCTCAGGGAATCGGTGAGAGGGACAGGTGAGGTCAGCTGTGCCACGTGTGGGTCAGCTCTCTGGCCTGGAATAGCCGTGATAGCACTGACTCAACCCCTAGGCTGCCAGGGGGCCCGTCCCAGTACTATTTATTAAAGAGGCTGTCTTGTCTGAATGGTATGATTTTAGCTCCTTTGTCCAAGATTGAACTCTTCATATTTATATCATTTGCTCTCTGGGTTTTTAGTTGCCTTCCATTGCTCTGAGTTCTGGTTTTGTTCCAGTAAAATAATGTTGTGATTACTGTTGGCATTATATATATTTTGAAGTCAGGAAATGTGATACTTACATTTTCTTCTTTTTTCCCAAGATTTTTTTGCTATTTGGGACCTTCTATGGGTTCATATAAATGTGGGGATTGTTCTGTTTCCTTATAAAAATGTCCTTGGTATTTGATAGGTATTGCATAAGTTTGTAAATTGCTCTAGACAATAAGGCCATTTATGATGTTTATTCTCCCCACCTAGAAGGATGGAACATCTTTGTATTTCTCTCTGTCTTTTATTTCCTTTAATAGAGTTTTTTTTTTTTTTTATTTTCAGGGTTCAGGTCCCTCACCTCCTTCTTTCACTTTAATGATACAGTCACAGTTATTTCATTCCTTTTGATGTGAATGTCAATGGAAATGTCAGTCATTTTACACACATTCTCTCTCATAGCTTGTTTATACTTCCAGAGAAATGAACCAAAAATGTTATCATGTATTGAATTGTAGTAAAATTTTAAAATAGTTGAACCTATATAATGTAACATTTTTTTGAGAAATTACACTCAAAAACAGTAGCTTTTATTATAATGGATTCCACATTGTATGTCTACATAGTGGGTTTGAAGTATGCACATAGTATCACCCACAGCTTGGTTTCAGAGAGTGCAAACCAAGAGAAACTGTAAATGGAAAGCGATGAGTGAGTGGTTTGTCCAAATATGAATTTTGAAGCCACCAGATTTTCATACTGGAAACTTGAAAGAAGTGAAAATATGATTAAGTAATTTATAATGCAATTTAGATTCATATTAAGGTATTGCAATACAGTAGGAAGTGAGAAACACTTTATATTCCTTAAGTCAGAAAATTGTTATGGAGCATAAGCCAACATTAAAACACCAAATATTAGCATAACTGAAAAGTCTGAGGGCCTTCCTGGTGGTGCACAGTGTTAAGTCACAGCACTATGAAGCTATCGTTTGGTCCCTGGCCAGGGAGCTGACCACATGAAACAGCAGACCTCTCCTGATTTATCTGCTGCTCCCCTCAGCAGTGTGTTTCAGTCAATCTGCTTGTTCTGCTCTGCACTCTGTCTTTGGGGAATCCTCTCACCCCGTACACTTCTGGCCTACCCCTCTGTTCTTGTATGCATAAATAAATAAAATCAATCTTTAAAAAAATAAGTAAGAGTTAAAGACGATGGTTTGGGGCCCTGTATAGTTATTTTCTTTGTCCTTTTTTTAATCAACCATACTTGAGATATTGTGAAGAGACCTGATGAATATAATTCAGCCCTAAATCACTTAACTCTATGGCTTTCTCCTGGTATGTAGGTGGAGTTATGTATTTGACTTTCGTGTGTCAAACATCTAAGGGACCCTCTCCAGTTGATGAGTTTCTTTACATCTTAATTGCTTGGGTACTTTTATGATGGTGTCATGCATCATGGATGAAGAAAATCTAAATGGATATGCTGTTTGTGTCTGACTGAAAAGGTTGATGTAAATCACCCAGAGGAGTCGTGGACTTCATTGTGGGCATAAAAGTTAGACACGGAAACCTGCTGAGGTTCAACTCATTTCATCATTTTCTCCTTCAGGGAATACACTAACAGTTTATTAATATCCTCATGTTTCTTCATGGTAGTAATAGAGCCATGAATATTATTGGACGTTTTTGCCAAAAGAAATCTTCACAAGCATGTGATGAAAGTGCAGGTGAGCTTTTCATAACAGCGTAGAATTCTTGTCCATTCACATTAGCTAAGCAAAGCATCTTTATGTTGAACACCGACTCTGTGATCCAGATATCAGAAGGTCAAGATGCTTCTTAAATACCTGAATGTTGGTTTTGATGAAATGTGTCTTGGTATCTGAATGTCTTATTTAGACTGTATGTGAACTTCTTATGTATATTTTTAAAATTTATTCATACAAGAGCTGGGGTGCAGGCCAAAGGGGTGTGTGTGTGTGTGTGTGTGTGTGTGTGAGAGAGAGAGAGAGAGAGAGAGAGAGAGAGAGAGAGAGAGAGAGGATTCACCAGAGACAGAGTGGGACATAGAACAGGCCGACTGACTGAAATACACTACTGAGGGGAGCAGTGGGCAAGAAGGGAGAGGTCTGCCATGCCCTGTGGGTGGCTCCCTGCTGTGGAGGGGGCGGATAGCTTGTCAGTCAGCGAGGTGCTTAACCCCTTCAGCCCCAGGGCGGCCCTGTTGAGCTCTCTTCCCTCAGAGCCCTGAACCCCTCAGGGGCCCCGCAGTTTTCACGGGCCTCGCCCACCTGCCGGTTCTCCTCAACCTCCACTCCTCCCACTTCCAGGCCTCAACCCCACCCCGAGGACGGCCCGACGGGCTGCGCAAGGGGTTGTGGGAAATGTGGTCTCCAGCCCCTGTGGTTCCCGCAGAGGTTTCTGGGCGGGGCTTCCGCGATCTGCGCAGGCGCGGCCCCGCCCCCGTCCTTTCGAACGTTCTGGCGCCTCCGCGAGCGCTGGGGCGCCCCGAGGTGAGCGCGGTTTTGTCCCGGGAGGCTGGGCGCGGGTGAGCGGAGACGCCGGGGGTTGGGGAGCGGGGGGCGCGGGCGAGTGGGGGCCGCGGCCGCGTGGAGTCGGGCGCTTTGGAGCCTTTTCCCCCCGGAGCGCGCGTGGGGGGCGGGGCAGGGCCGTTGGGGAGAAGGTTCGGCCTTTTCGGGGTGTCCCAGGCGCGGCCGCCCGGCCCTGACCCCGGACGCTGCCCGGCGTCTTCCCCGGGCGGGGGGACGGTGTCCCCAAGGCGGGGGCCCTGGGTAAGCGCGGGTCCGCCTGTGCGCATGTGCGCTGACTCCTCTGGGCCCCCCAAATGTCGGGCGGTGAGGGAGGGGAGAGCCGGGCTGCGTTTCTTGGGGGGGTTATTGCGCCCGGGGCCAGACTCAAGGACCCAGGGTGGGCGGGTGACATCTCGTGGGTTGCCAGGGGGAGGCGGTCCCTGTGGGGGAGGGGAGGTCAGGGGGAAACTGGGTTTGCAAGGCGGGGGGTGCGGGGGAGTTCCTGGGGCATTAGAGGCCTGTTGTCTGAATTTCCGGGTGCGCTTTGCTTTCCCGCCCCCAGGCGGCGTCCTGCTGGCCACTGCATTCTGGCCTCCTGCCTGGATGTGCTCACCCCTGGGGACTGCATCTCTGTTGGGTGTCCATGGAGGGGAGGGCGGGAAGAGGCACCGAGCCATTGCCAGGGTGTCCTGGCAGAACAGTGCGTTCGGGGCGTCGTCTCCTTGGAAATCGTGTCCACACTCTGAAGTGACTCATCAGCTTTGAGACTGTTGTTCTTGGCGTGACTGTTGATCAGGGAGTGGGCAGTGTCACCTTTTACTAAGTTATGGTGAACCATCAACCCACGTTCTGCCGCTCATGGACTCGCGGGGCCTCTCCTGCCCCTGCTAGAAGTGTCACACGGCCGGCACCCGCAGTGACTCTCTGGTGTCCTCAGGTAGCTTGTGGCGGGCTCTGGACAGGAGACTCCAGGACCCCATGCAGCTGCCTCCGTCCTCTGTGCTGGACCCATTGCCCCTCCAAGCGCCGCCTCCAGAGCCCTGGCGCATCTGTGAGAGCAGCGACAATGGACCAGTCTCTGGTGAGTGCTGTGTTTGCTTCAGCTCGTGGTGCATTGACTTTATGGGAGTATTTCAACAAACACGTAAATTAGAAACATAGTTTTCTCCAGGGACACATTCCTCACCAGAGAAAGGTGTGGCATAGATCCAGGCACTTCACATTTCCAGCATGTGTGAAGATGGGGCTCTGCCCTGGTGCTCACGCAGCACAGAGTCTGTGCCTGGGTCGCGGTTGATGACGCTGAAGGTGTGGCCTGTGGCTCTTCACCCCGCTGGACAGAAACACTCCCTAGCTCTGCGCTGGTCCAGTGCGGGGTGAGGGAGGAGGGGAAGGATGGGGCTTGAGGACCTGAGTGCAGAATGGGGGTGAAGGAGACGCATGTCTTTTAAAAAGGACAACTGATTTTTTTTTTCAAGATTTGTTTATTTATTTATACATACACTGGGTACAGTCAGAAGCCAGTAGGGTGAGAGAATTCACCAGAGTCAGAGCGGGGAGCAGAGCAGGCAGAGGGACCGAAGTACACTGCTGAGGGGAGCAGCAGGCGGCAGGAGAGGTCTTCGCGCCATGTGGGACCCTCGCTGGCAATCGAACTGGCGCTGCAGAGGCTGCGGGCAGCTTCACAACCCAACGCTCAACCCCTTGCGCCGCCCCAGGAGGCTCCAACTAAATTTTTAAGGTTTCTGTGCAGTAGCTAAAATCATACTGTGTCCTACACAACTCTTGGAGACTTTCATGCAGGCATCAGTCTTGGCATGTGTGCCGTTGAGTCCAATGGGGATCCTTACACACCTGCCCCTGCCTTTCTCTCAGGTGGCCTGCAAACCGAAGGTGCCCAGTAGACTCCTCAGAGTCCTTTTTTCTGGCCGTTGTATCCTCTGCTCCTGCGCATTTCTCCTTGGTGTGGTCTGAATGCATTTCTAGTGACACTCACTACACCCTAAGTTGCTCTCCAGTCCAGTTACACTCTCCAAAAGTTCCTGCCATGTTTGAGAACACCATGTGTGACCTTTGGGAAATTTCATTTTTTTAAATTGTTTTAAAGCTTCTTATACTTTTTTCTTATTCTTTTACTTATTTTCCCTCCTCGATCTGTCATTGACATGTGTAGCACTAAAAGCCTTCTGCTGAAATAGTTGCCAGTTTTTTCCTACAATCCTAATGTGTCTTGCCCTACCCCTTGTTTCCCCTCTACCAAACCACTCTGGCCCATCTCCTGTCTGCCTCCCTCCCTAACTTCTCCACCCATTCCCCTGTTCCCTCTGGTGGTCATCTTTACCTTCAAATGACCCTGTTCAAGTTTTATTCAAGTATTTTGGCTGTAAATGTTTTTTGGGTATTTATTTTCCACAGATGAGTGAAGCTATCTCATATGTGTCTTTACTTTTTACTTATTTCACTCAAGAATAGCACCTCCTGGGGCCTCCCTGATGGCACAAGGGGTTGAGATGCAACCGATGGGGCTGTCTGTAGTCTCTGCAACACAAATTCCATCCCCCGGCCAGCCAGGGAGCTACCCACATGGTGCAGCGGACCTACTGGCCTGCTGCATCCCTCGGCAGTGTATTTCGGTCTATCTGCCTGTTCTGTTTCCTGTTCTGTCTCTGATGAATCCTCTCACCTTCCTCCCCTGCACCTCTGGCCTGTACCCCAGCTCCTGTATGCATAAATAAATAAATATTTTTTAAAAAAGAAAAAAACAATATCACCTCCTTGCCCACCCATTTTATCCTCAGTGTGGCCCTTTGCTCCTTCCTCCCAGCCCTGCAGTGCTCCTCTGTGTGTACTCCACCTTTCCTGCCCTGCCTCTGCCGAAGGGATGTAGATTGGGCAATGACTGGGCAGTTGGAAACACAGCTGCTCTGCTCACAAATGGGATAAATCTTTCTGTGTTTGAGTTTTCCCGTGAGGGTAATGTATAGAAATATTGCAGATGATATGGAATTTCCGTTTTTATTTCCTTAAGAAACCTCTGCACCCTCATCCACAGGGTCTGTTCCGACTTTCATGGCCACCAGCCGTGGGTGAGAGCTCCCTTTTCTCTGTGCCCTCTCCAGCGTTGTTCATTCCATTTTTTTTTTTTTAGTGTTTCACTTTTTTAAATACTATTTTACATCATTTTCATTTTTGCACAGTGTAATCATTTACATCTTCGTTATAGTCCCCATAAAATTCTCAGCCCTCACCCCCTGATTTGTATAAATCCATTCGTTTTCATTTGGGCCTTCTCAAGGGGTGAGGTGGCATCAAAGTGTGCCTTTAATTTACATTTATCTTGAAATAAATTAAGGTGAACATTCCTATTGTCTGTAGGATGTCAGAATTCCCTCTCTAGAGAAGAGTGTATGTAGTTCCTTTGTCCATTTTTTAATTAAGAATTATTCATTTATGCATACAAGAACTGGGGTACAGGCAAGAGGTGCAGAGGGTGAGAGGATTCTCCAGAGACAGAATGGGGAGCAGAACAGGCTGACTTACTGAAACACACTGCTGAGGGAGCAGTGGGGAGTCAGGAGAGGTCTGCTGCGCCATGCGGGTTGCTCCCTGCCGGCCAGGGATCGAACTTGCGCTGCAGAGGCTTGCGCTGTGGAAAGCTTCATAGGCTGCGTCCCAACCCCTTGTGTCACCAGGGAGGCCCCCCTTTGTCCATTTTTAATTGAGTCATCAGTTGGTTTCTCGCATTGTTTGGAGATGTTATAAATTTTGGAATGAACCCCTTGTCATATGTGTGGCATGCAGATTCTTTTTCTGTTCTGTAGACTGCCTTTCAGTTTTGGGGCTGGTTTCTTTTAAGGTATGAAAGCTTTTAGGTTTAGTGATGTCCCACTTGTTGATTTTTGCTTTTGTTTCCCTGGGTGTTGGGGTTGTGTTCCCTAGTGCACTTTGGGGCAGCTGTCCTTAGTGTGTCCTATATTTTCTGTCAAGTACATCACCAAATATTTAATCCATTTGGAATTTTATAGATTGATTTATTTATCCATATAAGAGCTGGGGTACAGGCCAGACATGTGGTGGGTGAGAGGATTGACCAGAGACAGAGTGGGGAACAAAACAGGCAGATCTGGTGAAGTACATTACTAAGGGGAACAGCAAGGAGACAGGCGAGGTCAGGCGTGTGCCGTGTGGGTGAGTTCCCTGACTGGGGATCGAACTCATGCTGCAGAGGCTGTGGATAGCTTCATAGTGCTTTGCCTTAACCCCTTGCTTCACCAGGGAGACTCCATGTTGCTGTATTAAGTCGGTTGGAATTTGTTGAGGATTTTCGCTTCTCTGTTCTTTGGTGGTGTTGGTCTATTTTTCCCTTTTATGCTGTCTTCCTTTGGGGGGGATCAGGGCAATGTTGACCTTGTCGTATGTGTTGGTGAGTTTTCCTCCGTCTTCAGTGTTTTGGAAGATGCAAATTTCTTTGTTTTTACTTCTGTCATAGTCTCTCTGATGATTTCTTTTGTGTGTCCCTGAATGCTTGAGTATCTTGTGCTCCTGAATGTAGCTAGTCCCTGTGTTCCGATCTGGCCTCCCGTCTTCAGTCTGCACTTCTCCTTAGTGAGTCAGTCAACTGTGTTTTGCCATTTCTGCCAGTTACACTTGAGCGTGGGCCTCCTGCCCAGGCCTAGTACCACAGGCTCGGCTCCTACCTGACTGTGCTTGTAGCTGTCCCGATGGCACCTGCTGCTCATGCAACATGCAAACCTCGTCCTGTGTTGTGCCCTCCCGTGTGGAATTAGATCCTTCTCAGCCCAGGTCTCCCGCCACCAGAAAGGGATTCTCTGTTCCAGAGTTTAGTCTCACCCAATGCAAGTTACTCTTCAGTATTACCTGATATCTTAATGGTTGCTGACAACAGCACCGCCTTGTGTGCGTGCATGCGTGCATGTGTGCATGTGTGTGAGTGTGTGTGTTCACTTTCTTTCACATTACAGTTCTCATTCTTGGCCAAACCTGATGGATGCATTTTCTCAGTGATGAGGTTGCTCCCTTTTCTGCCTCTGACTGGCCAGGGTGTGGTGACACCTCAGAGTTCAGGGGGAGAAAGTACTCAGGGGTCAGTGGGACATGTTTGAACAAGGGTCATGACACAGACACTCGCTGAGTAAAACCAGGTAGCGCAAATGTTCATCATTTGACCTTTGGTTGTTGGGAGTTTATGTCAGTGATGCTCAATGTACTTTTTAATAAAGAGCTTCAGGTTTCTGTCATCGAGTCTAGAGTATAGTAGGTGTGTTTGCATTTGTCATACGTATGATTCTTGCTGAAGTTACGGTTAATGGTAGATTTTTTTATTTTGATAGATGTTTATAAAATATTGATAGAATGAATATATTTTGCAACCTAATTTTACCAGCTCTTCTGTCACCTGTGACCATGCAAGTGTTTCATTTTATAAACCTTTGCACTGTGGGGAGCAGCAGTGGCTGCTCTTCTGCCCAGCATGACAGTTGCTTCTTTTTTCTCCTTTTCCTAGAAAATGTGGCCCTCCATTCATTCATTCATTCATATTTTAAAAGATGAATTTATTTATGCAAAAACTGATGTATGGGCCAGAGGTGTGGGAGGGGGGAGGATTCACCAGAGACAGACTGGGGAGCAGAACAGGCAAATCTATTGAAATACTCTGCTGAGGGGAGCAGTGGGCGAGTCAGGAGAGGTCTGCCACACCATGTGGGTAGCTCTCTGGCTGGGGATTGAACTCGTGATGCTGTGGCTGTGGGACAGCTCCATAGGTAGTGTCTTTACCTTTGAGCCACCAGGAAAGCCCCTGACCCTTTATTTAAATGTAAAATAAAAAGTCTCCTTTCGCTGTTATTGCATGTGGTGTTCTTTGGCTTTTAGTATCTGACAGTGTTATACAGCCATCACCACCTTCCAGTTTTTTTCATTTCCCAGTAATAAAATACTGTACTCATTAAACTCTTGCTCCCAACTGCTCTGTCCCTCAGCCCCTGTGTCCACCATTTACTTTCTGTTTTCAAGAGTTTGACAACTCATACCTGTATGAATGGAGTCTTATTATACCTTGTTTTCTTGGTGAATCTCTTATTTTATTGCATTGTTAACTGTTTTATCATTTCATAGGTATCGTACAGGAGTGCATTCATATTGTAGTGTGTGTCATTGTTTAGTTCCATTGTGAGGCTCATTAATATGCTCTTATGTGTATTTTCCAGACTTATTTATCCATTAATCCATCACCTGGAGCTTGGGTTGATTTTGCTTTGGGCTGTAATGACTGGTGGTGCAGTGACAGTAGGTGAGCAAACGTCTCTGCCCGTTCCTGCTGTCCCTGCTATTGGTGAACACCCCGGGGTGGGGGTGGGTCCTCCTGTCATTCTGAGTTCCCTTTTCCCGAGAATCACCTTCCTGTCTTCCCTCCTGGCTGCATCATTTATGCTTGCCACAACAGTGCGCAAGGGAGCCAGGTCCCAATTTTTGCCAGTACTTGTTCTTTTCTTTCTTTTTAAATCATTGTGATCCCAGCGGACGTGAAATCTCATCTCTTGTACTTCTGATTCATTTTTCCTTTGTGACTGATCGTATTGAGAACGTTCATGTGTTAGGACCTGCTTGGGTATGTGATTTGCAGAGCTGTGTATTCCAGTCCTTTACTCATGGCTGCACATTTCCATTTTGAACAGGGTCGAAAGTGCGAGGGGATTGTATTGTCCCATTTCATCATACGGTCCTTTTATGGCATCCTGAGCCCACTCCTGCTGGGAGGTCCCCGTGAGTTTCTGTGCGCAGACATGAGCCACCCACCTTCTCTTTGCTGTTGTTTTATTTCTCGTATTAGTGTTTTAATCAATGAGACTATAAATAAGAACACATTTTTGTTTTCCTAAACTGGGATGTGCCGGGTTACCTTGCAAGAGTTGCTGTCAGTGCAGCAGGCTCATCGTGTCCTGGATGCTGTTTTGTCTTTGCATTTGTTTAATTCATTGTTTAACCCTCCGGGTTTCTTTATTCCAGCTCAGTCTCTGCCCTTGGTTCCGCTATATGTATCGCTTACTGTTTTGTCATTTCACTGGCAGCGTACAGGAGCTCCTGTGTGTGTGAACACGGGTGTGTGTTATAGTCTGCTCACTGGGTTTTCCTTTCCAGAGTCGCTTTACTGTGGCTTTCATTAGTTTTCCAAGAATGAATTATAACTAGTTATGACCATTTTTATGTATGTTGTCTTTTTGTTGTTATTGTTACGTAGCGTCACCCAAACCCATTGTGAATAGGGGACACTGAGCGTCTTTGTTAGTCCTACTCTCACTGGGAATGTTGATGTCGCCTGTGGCTGTCAAGGACTTGTTTTGTGTTGAGGAAAAATCCTCTGAATCCATTTTTAGCTAATACAAATGGAAATTTATTTTAATGGGTTCCTATTCTATATGTATGTGGAGGTGCACAGGATTTACTATATAGCAAAGGAAATGATGGAATAAATTTACGGATTTCTTAAGATATTTGTTTTCTTATACCGTGTATCTTATTTTTCAAAACTCTTTCATTGCTATGATCTATTTTTTTCTTTCTCCAAAAGAAATATTTGTCTCTTAGTTGTTTTTCCTCTTCTTTCAATACCTTTTGTTCTGGTCACCGTGTTCTCCCCTACGGTGATGAAAACTATCAATAATATCCTGGAGATTCCCAAATTCTTTCTTTTCTTTAATATTTATTTTGTGTATTCATATAAACGCTCGGGTGTAGGCCACAGGTGCAGGGGGTGAGAGGATTCACCAGAGACAGAGTGGGGAACAGAACAGGCAGACTGACTGAAATACACTGCTGAGGGGAGCAGCGGGGAGACAGGAGAGGTCTGCTGTGCCTTGTGGATAGCTCCCTGGTTGGGGATTGAATTCTTGCTGCAGCAGCTGTCGATAGCTTCATAGTGCTGAGACTTAAACTCTTGTGCCACCAGGGAGGACCTGATTCCCAAATTTCTGTTTTCACCTTAGACTTCCTGATCTATCAGACACATGTCCAGTTGCGTGTGGAATTCCAGTGTCTACCAGCCCTTCATGCAGACAGCATATTAGGAAAACATTCCTCATACCTCAGCCACCAAGTAATTACCAAGTTCTCCTCCACTTTGTCCTTCCATTTTAGAAGTGATGACCTGATCTGTCTTCTTCTGACTCTGTCAGCTGAACATCTTTTCTTAAGATTTTATTTTATATATGTTTTACATCATTTTTTATTTCTGCACAAGTTATGCATTTTCATCTTGGTTATAGTCCCCATACATCCCACCCCCCTTATTTTAACCCTAATATCTCCAACCCCAATAGTGCATCTCTGGTTTATACTTGCTTGTAGTTGAACATCTCTTACCTTTGCTTTTTCCCACCTCATTGCTTGAACATCCTGGTTTTGGGTTCAGTTTTTGTTTACTGTGAGTTGGAGATAGCAGGCTTTGAGGTCATGGGAGTAAAATATTGGCACAAAGTTGCACATGTTTTTAATTTGTTATGAAGCTCCTTTATCACATGATTCCGGGTGTGAGTCTGTTAAACCTGCCAGCCAGGCTATCAGCTCCTCAAGGAGCCAATTTTATTCATCCTTTTATTCTTAGAATCATAGACACTTCCAAATATATAAGGTGAGCTATAGTTCTACTTGTAGGACCAAAGGGGTGAATGTAGAGGCGAGGCTCTTTCAACTGCAAATTCTATACAGTACTGAAGACCCACAAAATAAGATGTGTTTGCACTTGCTCTGTCTGACCCAGGCTGCCGGCCCTGAGATGAGAAATGTTCCCTCAGAAGGGACAGTGTCATTTGAAGATGTGGCTGTGAACTTCACGTGGCAGGAGTGGCAGTACCTGAGTGAAGATCAGAGGACCCTGTACTGGGATGTGATACTGGAGACCTGCAATCACCTGGTGTCCTTAGGTGAGGAAGCTCCAGTGTAACACTCTAGTGCAGTGCTGTCTTCTGCACTGACAAGTGTGCACTTGCTTATGAAACTGAGTGTTGGTGAGGTTGAACATGGCAGGCAGTGTACATTGTGGGTGTTTCGGTTTTCGTTTGGAAAGATTCAGATTGGCCTCTTTTGCACAGCTCTTCACACTGCATTTGTTAGTTTTCAAAGACTGAAGTTGAACTTGATCGAAGACCACCACTGTTTCTCATCACAGGGCACTGTGTTACTGATCCTGAGGAGAGCATCAGGTCGGAGCAGGGATTACAGCCGTGGACTGTGGGCGATCCCCCAAACCAGGACCTGTCAGGTCAGTCAGTGCTTGCCAGGCCAGGGGGCTGAGAGGAGGCTGGGAGTGTGGCCAGTGATATTGGCCACACTGAGGTGCTTTTTCAGTGTCCAATCTTGGAGAGTGTGTCTGCATATATCAAACTGATTCTTTATTCAGTTTCCAAATACTACTTTCTTGTGAATTACGTCCTGCTCTTTTAAAAATGGCCGTCTATGTTCTTAAACCAGTATGAAGTCCCTGATACATGGGGATGATTCTGCAGTAATCACATATCTCTATTCTCTCTCTTAGTGTATTCTCATAAACTGTTTTCTTTAGGTTCCAGTTGAGGAATTTTTTTTATTCTTTCTGTATGTTTATGGGGAGGTCACACACGACATAAAAACAGGAGCTGCTATGAACAAAGCAGAAACACAGGTTCCAGCGAGTGCGTTGAGAACACCAGGGTGTTACTCTCAGAATGATGTGGGAAAAGACTTTAACACTGATAGCCACAGGCTGGATGCAGAACTTTTTTCCTATCAGCAGGAACGTGGGACACAATGATGAGGCAGAGTTTGCTGCATGTATTAGGATTCTGAGCCTTATGTATTTAAATAAGAACTGACAGGTCTCTGCCGTGGAGGGATGTGCATGCCTCTGAGAACCTCTGCAGGTGACCGTGGCCAGGGCCGGGATCGAAAGAAAAACTAAGGAAATGGAGAAGCAGAGTCCTTGTGTCTCAGCAGGCCTCTTGCTTAAAGTGCCTAGGCAATGACTGGGTCACTCAGTCCACAGGTTTCCGGGAAAGCCATGGCCTCTGCAGGGCTTGGTTATTCAGAAAGTACCTGCAAGAGCTGCACAGGGTCAGTCTAAGAAAGAAGGTGTGTAGGATCTATTTTGGATGAAATGCTTCTGGTTGAAATTGACAAATCTAGTTAAAGGACTATTTTCACCAAATATTTATGATTTACAAAGCAATTATTAAATTAGTTTTACTGCTTTGTTATCCTGGTTTGGCATTAGAAAATCTGTTAATTGGGGCCTCCCTGGAGGCCTAGGGATTAAGTCTCTTAGCTCTCACTATTATGGCCTCAGTTTGATCCACAGTGAAGTAGCTCACCCACTTTGTCACAGTAGACCTCCCCTGTCTCACCCGCTGCTCCCCTCAGCAGTGTATTTGAGTCAGTCCACCTGTTCTGTTCAAAACACTGTCTCCACGCTCCCCTACAGCACCCCCACTCCTGCACTTCTGGCCTACACCCCAGATCTTCTATGCTAAAATAAAAAATACCAAAAAATCTAGTCTCCCCATAATTTGCTATGGGCAAAATGCATGAATCAGAAAATCAATACCTGTAAATTGTGTTGTAATACAGGAGCTTTTGTGCCACTTAGTAGTATTCACTCAAAATGCTTAGAGACATGGCCATTTTTATCTCACTTTAGATGTCCATACTGTGGATCACCTGACTCAGGACAGCCCTGCAAATCAGGGCAGACATGTGTGGCAAGTTCTTACCACCAGCAGCAAAATAGCATTCAACGAGAGAACTGACTTAATGGAAAAAAGCAATTTGCACTCAATTCATTGTTTGAACCATAGTATCAAAAATGAAAACAATTCAGCGATGATGCCTGTGAACTTTACTATACATAGGACCATGATGATCCCTGGTGAGCCTCATGAAGGGCATGCTGGAGAGTACAAGGAGGTCTTTAGTAGAATGAGGGAACCCATCAAGTATCCTGAGCACCTTAGTCACCAGGTGATTCAGAACTTTCAACAGCCTTTTGAATTTCGTGAACAAGGAAATGTTGTGAGTGAAGAAACAATATTTACACCTAAAGGAGCCCTTCCAGAAGGGGCTGCCCATAAATGCAATGAGTGCAGGGACACCCGTGATGAGGTACCTTTCGTTGGCCGAGACAGAACCCAAGGAGGACAGACTCTCTGCAGTTGTAATGAAAAGGGGAGAGCAGCGGAGATGACTCCAGTGCATTTGAATCTTCCTAGGTATGTTGAACACGAGCAGCAGGAATGTTGTGAAAGTGGGGCCAGTCTCAGCAACACATTTCACACCTATCCGCGTGAGAGTACCCAGTTAGGAAAGAATAATTTGGGATATAAGAGATATGGTGAAGTGGCCTCTAAAACCTCTGTTCTGACTGAACATCAGAAAACACAAGCAGACGATCAACCTGATGAGTGTGGGGGCACCGCTGAGATTTCCTTACAGAGGGGATACCAGAGAAATCTCACTGCAGTGAAGTTGTTTGGCTCTAACGATTATGTGAAAACTTACTCATGGAAGACTGCCCTCACTTTACATCCACAATCTCAAACGGGAGTGAAGCGCTACCCATGTCAGGTATGTAAGAAAACTTTCAGGTGGAAATCTGCTTTTAGTGTCCATCAGAGAACTCATATAAGGGAGAAACCCTATGAATGTGAGGCATGCAGGAAAGTGTTCTCCTGTAAGTCAGTTCTTGTTCTACATGAGAGGACTCACACTGGAGAGAAATGCTATGAATGTGAAGGGTGTGGGAAAGCTTTTTCTAGTAAGGCACACTTTATTAGACATCAGAGAATTCACACTGGAGAGAAACCCTATGAATGTGAAGGGTGTGGTAAAGCTTTTTCCAGTAAGTCTTACCTCAATGAGCATCAGAGAATTCACACTGGAGAGATGCCTTATGAATATGAAGAGTGTAGGAAGATTTTCTCCTGCAAATCATCCCTCAGTAACCATCAGAGAATTCACACTGGAGAGAAGCCTTATGAATGTCAAGAGTGTAGGAAGACTTTCCACTGGAGACCATCCCTCATTCACCATCAGAGAAGTCACACTAGAGAGAAACACAATGAATGTCCAGCATGTAGGAAAGTGTTCTCCTGTAAGTTAGTTCTTGCTCTACATAAGAGGACTCACACTGGAGAGAAACCCTATGATTGTGAAGAGTGTGGGAAAGCTTTTTCTAGGAAGTCATTCCTCAGTCTCCATCAGAGAAGTCACACTGGAGAGAAACCCTATGAATGTGAAGAGTGTGGGAAAGCTTTCTCCCGTAAGTCTTACCTCAGGGAGCATCAGAGAATTCACACTGGAGAGAAGCCTTATGAATGTCAAGAGTGTGGTAAGACTTTCCACTGGAAATCATCCCTCAGTAACCATCAGATAAGTCACACTGGAGAGAAGCCTTATGAATGTCAAGAGTGTAGGAAGACTTTCTCCTGGAGATCATCCCTCAGTCACCACCAGAGAGGTCACACTGGTAAGAAACCCTATGATTGTGAAGTGTGTGGGAAAGCTTTTTCCCGTAAGTCAAACCTCATTAGACATAAGAGAAGTCACACTGGAGAGAAACCCTATGATTGTGAAGGGTGTGGGAAAGCTTTTTCCCAAAAGTCAAACCTCATTAGACATCAGAGAAGTCACACTGGAGAGAAACCCTGAGTGTCAAGAGTGTGGAAAGACTTTCTGCCAGAAAACATCCCTCAGTAAACATGAGAGAAGTCACACTAGAGAGAAGCATTATGAGTGTCAAGAGTGTGGGAAAATTTTTTTTCCAGTAAGCATGCTCTCACTGGACATCAGAGATGTCACTGGACAAAATCCCTATGATTGTGAAGAATGTGGGAAAACTTTTCAGGAAGTCAGCCCTCACTAGGCATGACAAAATCCACACTGGAGGGAAATGCTAAGAATGTCAAGAGTGGGCAGGCAGGCCTCCCCCGGTGGGTGCAGATGTTTGAGCGCAGCACTATGAAGCTGTTCGCGGCCTTTGCGGTGGGAGTTTGATTCCCTGGCTGGCCAGGAACAACCCCATGGTGCGGCAGACCTCTCCTGTCTGGGCCGCTGCATGTATTTCAGCAGTGTATTTCGGTCAGTCTGCCTGTTCTGTTCCCCGCTCTGTCTCTGGTGCATCCTCTCACCCTCCCACACATCTGGCCTGTACCCTGATTGTTGTATGCTTGAATAAATAAAAATCTTAAAAAAAAATATTCAAACTTAGGAGCTCAAACCACATCATTCAGTTGAGAGCAATGGGAACTCACATATAGTTTCACTCCTAATTGCGTGGAGTTACCTGGTTCACTCTTCTCCCAAGTTCATGCAGTGATGATGTCTCTGTTCCTGTTGCTGTTGCTTCTAGTATCCTTTTAAGTTCCTGGATGATGCTATTCATGTTCACGGTAGCTGTCTGTCTACATGGCACACTGCATGTTGTGTGGGTAAGTGATCTCTCTGTGTTTTCTAACTTAGTCGTCACGTTCTGTCCAGTACTCTAAGTCTCTGTGGTGCCCCCCGATGCTGGAATTGCTCACCACCAAAATGTCCTCCTCTAGAAGGAAATGTTGAAATGTGTGCTCTCGGCTATAGGTTGAGGTCTGCAGCTGTCCTTTACCTACCTTTCATGATGAAAGTTTCTCAGGGCCTCCCTGGTGGCCTTGGGGTTAAGTTTCAGCGCTATTGCCTGCTCTGGCCAGGGTTTCAGCCTTTGCTAGGGAGCCGTCCCACATATGCTAGAGGCCGCAGCAGGTCTCTCCTGTGTCACCCGCTGCTCCCGTTAGCCAGGTATTTCAGTGGTTCTGCCTGTTTGTCGCCACACTCAGTATCTAGTGAATCCTCTCACCCCGAACCTCTGGCCTACTCCCCAGTTCTACAAAATGAGGGAATTTTTTTGGAAGATTACTTCTGCATACAAGAACTGGGGTGCAAGCCAGAGTTATGAGGGGGTGAGAGGATTCTCCACAGAGAGAGTGGGGAGCACAACAGGTGGATCTACCAAAATCCACTGCTGAGGGGTCAGTGGGGAGACAGGAGAGGTCTACTGTGCCATGTGGGTCACCTCCCTGGCCAGGGATCGAATTTGTTCTGCAGTACTGAGAGCAGCTTCATAGTGCTGAGACTTTCACCCCTGCGCCACCAGAGGCTCCTATATTATTTTTAAAGGAAAGGATTCTTGCCTTTTAATTTTTTTTATTAAATTGTTGTTCATCTTTGTGCAATATTGAATCGCTCCCCTTCTTTATAATT